TTAAGATGAGAGGAAAAGATCTCACAATTCATATTTTCCAGCTTGCAATCAGAAGAGCAACACTGAAGAAGTCCTTCACCCCAGTGCTGGTGGGCAGTGCTTTAAAGAACAAAGGAGTACAGCCGCTGCTGGATGCTGTCCTGGAGTACCTCCCCAATCCTTCCGAGGTTGAGAACTATGCTATTCTTAACCGGGGGTAAGTATATTCATGAGCAGACAAATGCTCTTGGAATCAGGCTTCAAAGCAGTGCAATATGTAGCAGGAAACATTCTTAACAAAATACATGATTGTTTACCATTTCTATTAAATAATGCCATCATCATTGTGTGCAAACTTCCAAAACAAAGCTCATCTCTCATTTGAGGGTTACTGTTTGTACTGGTATTTTTAACACACATTAAATGTTAAATTTTAAAACTTATTATCTGAGATGAATAGTTATATGAAACAGTTCTTTAGAAATTAATGGCTACCCTTAAAACTGGGCCAACAGCAGAGCATCTTCTAAGTCTCCTTTATAAACTGAATGCCCTTGGGACTTTCTGAGGTTGTGCTCACGTTCGGAGAAGGCTGCCATTTTTGAATCTTAACATGAACTCTCTCTTCATCCCTGTTTTTAAGGGATTCTGAGGACACAACCAAGTTCCTATTGAACTCTGCTCGAGACAATTCCCAGCCCTTTATAGGCCTCGCTTTTAAACTGGAGGTAAGCTGTTTCTCTTTTCTAATGCAGCAAAAGCAGCAGAGAAGCAGGGCATTTCCTGCAAGAGTTCCTGATGTACACCAGTCCTGCTTGCACTGAGGTCTTGGTGGCTTGTCATTGATGCCTGGGAAATGCCTTTCGTTTTGGGGGAAAAGCACCTATTTAAAGCTTTGTATTTTCAGTGTATCCATTTGCACTCGTGATGGCTATTTTACTTGGTCACTGTGTATCTGGTAAAGCTAAACAAGAAGTTTCTAGAGGATGGATGCCCAGAACATTACCTATCTGGGTTGTACTCACCTTGTGTTAGCCCCGAAGGATTCATTATTTGCAATTTGAGTAGAAAACAAAGCGAGTCCATGCAGATGGTAATAATACCAAAACTTATGTGGATCAGATTTTAAAATCAGTTTATGTTTACACTCAATTTAAATGTGACTTCTTTTAAAAAACTGGTTTCAACCATAAAATTACAAATGTATCAAACATTGCCAATTTGCAAGTTTTGAAATAGATTATGTGCCTCAAGTACTTCATTATTTTCTTAGTTAGAACCTGAAAATTTGCGGGGCTTATGGGCTTCAGATACTTTCAGAGAAAAATCCTGGGTTGGTCTGAGGTTGAACACAATGGAACATGAGACAGTTGGAGAGGAAAAAGTACAGAGTTTTAATCAAAAAAAGTTATTTGCTACCTAGAGAGTAGCAGTTCAGATTTCATACAGAAAGTGACTAGCCAAGTTGCTAGTTAATGTGTGCCTCTGCTGGGAAGGTGTGGGAGTGGTAAAATTGGCGAAGTAAAGGAAACTGCCAGGAGCTGCCAAGTTCCGTTCCAGAGCCAAGTGAAAGCTGAGACTACCTTAAAAAACCATTTCGTTTACACATCTAGTGTGTAAGTTCAAAACAGAAACATTTAGTCGGTCAGTGCAGATGATGCTTTGAATAGTAGTGGTCTTGACTCCCAGAATGATTATATCTGATTTCGAATGAATTTTGATTCCAGGCTGGCCGTTTTGGGCAATTAACCTATATTCGAGTTTATCAGGGGATGCTGAAGAAATCTGATTATATCTATAACACCAGGACTGGGAAGAGAGTGCGGGTACAAAGACTTGTCCGTATGCATTCAGACAACATGGAGGTGAGTGTGAGAGGCACAGTCCACCCCGTTGCCTTTCAAACCACTCTTACTAAACAAGCTGCTCACTTTTGAATTATTTCTGAATGATGTGGCATGTCAAATTTCTGCTTTTGTTGTTAATTCCTACTTTCCTGTAGCACTTAACAGAGCTCTACAAGAAACTGGAATGATCTTGGTTGTATTATTTCCACTGAAGTGGCAGAATCTTTGCCTGAGCAGCATTATAAAATGTCTTTGAGGTGATGGCTAAAGAAAGCCAGCTGTGGTATCATCTCCATATTCCATACTTCTGGGAGAGGGGTAATAGGATTGGCAAAATACACAAAGTTTTCTTCCATGTGGTTATTGAATACAATTCTTACACTAAACATTGATTATCAAACTGCTGCAAATACTACCCTTCCCTGTGTCAGATTCCTGAACTCTGCAGCTGGTTCAGGACTGCCTGAAACAAAGTACGTTGCTTGCTTCACATCCTTAAAATAGCACAAGTTAGCATCCAAGCTGAGGGCTCCTTTTTGTGCTTTGAATAAAGAGATTTACAGAGCACGTTATCAAAGCTGGGATTTTCAAAGGAGCTTAACCTCAAGCTTTTCAACACAGTATTTATATATCTTCTTAAAACCAGGTGTAGTTTGTAAGATATCTTTCAGTGTTATCTAAATAGTAAACTCTTCTTTCTTCAGGATGTTAATGAAGTTTATGCAGGAGACATCTGTGCATTATTTGGAATCGATTGTGCTAGTGGGGATACGTTCACTGATAAAACTAGTACTGACATTTCCATGGTGAGTACACCTTGTCATCCGTGTGCCTCGTGCATTGGAATTTACCAGGATTTTGTTGTAAAATCATTCAGTTTAAATATATTTTGATGCATATCCAACCACAAATATTTTTTTGTGATTATTTGTTATACCTCAAGAAGCCTGAATATATGGAAGTGCAGTATGTGCAAGAGAGATACACACCTGTTTGCCATGCTTGACATCAAATATATTACTTGAGTGTTAGCAAACTGTTCTGGGTTATTAGAAGCGGATGCTGTTACCCCAAAATATGAAGCTACGTATTTGTGTATGTATTTAAATACATCAGTTTTAGTTATATGTACATTTACAGAATCTGCTGGGAAGCAGAGTCTTCTAACTAGTGTGAAATCCAGAGATCAACTCGCATCTAGGAAGCAGTGTTGGAAATCCTGTGGTTGGCAGTAACAGCATGTGTTACGTTAGAGCCTTGTAGTAATCTGCAGGAGAGTTACATCAGTTTGTTAAGCTATGACATTAAATACATGATAGATAAGTAAAACAGTCATCCCTGTTTGTAACCCTGGGTTCTTGTGAAGAAACTTTTCTGGAGAAAAAAGGTGTAGCAGAACTCGATTGTATGATCTCTTCCTTTATGGTCGTTGCAGGAATCCATTCACATCCCTGATCCTGTCATTTCAGTAGCTATGAAGCCTTCCAACAAGGTAGGAGCCTATGAATCTGCCTTTTTCAGACTGAATTACCTTTCCTTTGCTGCTTTTACCACTTTAGGCAGGTTAGCAGTTAAACATGGAACCACCGATTAAAATGAGGAGTGTTTTAAAATGTTCTATCCCAAGTGCTTGAGAAGATATCATTCAGATAACTCAGCATGTGGTTGCGTTAGGTGGTATCACTCAGCCATAAAGAAGATGCATGTCTTTGACCTGGGTAAAGGAGGACTTGAAGTAATTGGAGGGATAAATGCAGTTATAAATGTATCACTGTGTTTCAGAAAATAACCTCGTGAGAGTAGAAGTGCTAAGCAGTGGATAGGAAAATGTGAGGCCTTTATTGTTGTGTGGGTTCTGGATATTGAGTTAAATGTTTTCTTGCGTGTGTTAATTGTTTTTCAGAATGACTTTGATAAATTTTCAAAAGGCCTGAGCCGCTTTACAAGGGAAGATCCCACTTTTCGAGTCCATTTTGATGATGAGAGCAAAGAGACCATTGTTTCTGGAATGGGGGAACTGCACTTGGAAATCTATGCACAGGTAACTCGGAGAGCAGATTCCACAGACTCTGCTTTTGATTGTTTTTCCAACCAAGCATTCTCTTTCCTTTCTGTCTGAGACCAAAATCTACCTGCAGCTGGGCTGACTGATGCCAGCCTTTACACCTCATTTTGTAATTGTGCGCCTGAGCGAACATCAAGTTTACAAGATGTTTGGAGGTGCACAATTCCACTTGCTTTTGTGTAAATCAGGGTTATCATGTGACAGTTTTGAGATCTTCCTAGCAGAAAGCACCGTATCTTTAGTGTGAACAGTATTAGCTGCTTAGGGAAGAGCTTAACTTCTTAGTCAACTTTTGAAGATCGTTTCTGTCCAGTGGTTCTATTTTGAAGGCTTCTATTTCCTACAGGAGAGAGAAATATTATGTTTCCGTGTTTCTAAATGTGTTATTCCGTAACAAGAGATGACACAGGCAGGAGGAAATACTTACAGTGATTTATTTGTTTCTTTCAAGTTGATTTTAGTCTAACACAATAGATGTATCTGAAGTGTTGACAGAATGACGAAAGATAGTTTTTGTCTTGGAAGACTTAAACTTCACTAGAATAATTAATACTGTTCCCTTTTCTTGTATCTAAAACTATAGCCCCTAAACAAGGATGACTGCAGAATGACGGTGAATAATTTGTAACGTTAAAAAAAAAACGTACCAAGTCCCCAAAAATCAATCCAACCCCAAACCAAAAAACTGGAGAAAAACCTGTAAAAAAAATAATTTCTAATATATTGTTCCAAGAGAACAATTCTGTATTTCATTCTGCTTTCTTTTTTTTTTTTCTGCAGCGAATGGAAAGAGAGTATGGTTGCCCTTGCACCATGGGAAAGCCAAAAGTTGCCTTTAGGGAGAACGTCGCCACACCTGTGCCGTAAGTACTCTTTCTGGTAACAGAAGTTTTTAAATTTTATTTTGATGCAGAATTTGATTACGTAGCAGTGAAAGTGCTTTTTGGATTATCAGATCAAAGCACAATGTACAGGAAAAGTGTCATTGAGGAATTACTTTTTTCTTCATACCTTGATTGCACATCCACACTCATCACCGTATTTGCCCCCTCTTCAAGTGCTTATTTTGTAGCATTTGAGCTTCTTCTGTTGCCACACCAGGTGGTCTGTTATTTTGATGCAAGCTTTGGCTGACGACTGTCCTGTGTTACTTGAACACCACGCTGTGGGTGCCAGAGAACTGTCATGTGCCAGGGAATAATCTCCTGTGGGTAGAAAATAAAACTAGAAAGTGAGAATGTAATTTCTTTGCACAATACTGCCCAGGAATCGACTGCTGTAATACAGGCAGACCTGGGCTGTTTACAAGTAGTTGATCAAGCTCCAGTAGCAGTGCAGGGTAAGCATAACACAGTCCTGCTGAGCTGTCCAAGTATTTGAAGTTCTCCTGCAAGCTTTTTGCAGCCTGTGTGTGCTCCATGCTGCTGGAACTGCATTTACCTCTTCTATAGGCAAGTTCTGCAGCTCAAGCATGCCTGTGTTAGATTACCCCTCTTAACTGTTAGTGCTGTTAGTATTTTGGGACACTCGCCCTTCACCAAACAGAGCAGAAGGAAGAACCTTTGTTCTGAAATTAGCTATGACTTATCAGGAAATTTTCTTCATAAAAAAATTTAGGAACTAAGACCACAATAGGTGCCCCCACTTAACTGAGAGCACAGTGGGGTAGGAAGCAGTGGAGTTAGAAGTGGGAGTGAGATCTCTGATTATCAGTGGATGATTTATTACAGGAGGCCACACAATTGAGAGCTTCTCTTTCAAATTTTTTGCATTTTTCTTATGAAAACACTTCTGCAGATTGCAAAATTATGATGGGGAATAGCACACAATGTAAATACTGTTCTGGGAACCAAAGTTTCTGCTGCTTTCTTGTGTGAGCTACTGGGGTAGACAGTACGTCTGTGTACTGGTCCATCACTGCTGTCCTCTAGCCCAGAGGCACTCTGCAGCTCCAGCTGGAAGGCGGTTACACAGTCCAGGATGCTGGCAGCTGCTTCTTCCCTTTATCCCTGTCCAGTTTGGCAATAGCATCTCCCAAGAGGAGAGAGCTGTGAATGACCAGAGTATTGAACCTCTGCCATTCCCAAGAAGGCCCAGAAATAGCTGAAAATTACTGTCTCCTGAAACAAGTTAGAGACCTGTTGTTTCCTGCCTGCATAGGGGCAGAAGCCAGTAATCCTGAGGCAGCAGAAATAGATGAAAATTACTGTAAACAAGTTAGAGACCTGTTGTTTCCTGCCTGCATAGGGGCAGAAGCCAGTAATCCTGAGGCAGATGGGTGGTCATTGCCACAACCTCACCCTGGTTGCTAAATGACCTGCCGGCCTCAGATCTGTGAACACCCCACCATCTGCGTGGCTGAGTTGGAGGTTACACGGTTGGCAGTCTTAAAAAAAAAAAAAAGGCTTTTTAGAAGTAAGACTTTACCTGGGACACCATGTCATGAAGTAGAATCAGGTAGTCAAATTCAAGATATTCATCACTTCTTTTCTGGAGAGACAAGATGGAAAGGGCTGAATGTGGGGCCTCCCCCCCGCGTTAAAAGCAGTGAGTCAGTTCTCTTTGGTCATCATAAAAATTCTCCACTATATTTCAGATGAAACTGGCAGTTCGTGTTAACAAATAAAGCAGATGGAGCTTAGTCACTATAACAAAACAAACAGGTACTGTTTTGTAGTTCTGTGAACTCCAAAATTGCGTTTGAGAGACTGAATATGAAGCTTAAAACAGTGCTAATTCTTAATCCCTTAAAGAAGCGAGATATATCAAAACTTCAGCATCTCATTTGGGAAGGGAACACCTGATTCTACAAGGTGTCAGTTTAACCCAAATAATCCTAAATAAAATTGCCAGTAGGATAAGACTTGCAACACATTCCAGAGGCCTTACAGTGGTTAGATAACAGGTTACAGTGATTGTGTGACAGAATATCCACTGGCCTTCGGAACCTACTCTGTATGTGTCTGTTCTTCAGGGAAAAGAAAAGGAACAAAATTACTCAGGAGATGACAACTGGTTTAGTTTAATAGTCTTCCGTCTGCCTCATCCTTAAATTCATCTGGTTTGTTAAAGAGGGTTTTAAAATGTTGCTCATGTGCAGCCCTGCAGCATTTGTGAATTGCTTTCAGATAGCCATCAGAGGGAGCAAAACGTTAACAAACCGTGCTCTCAGAATGAGTTTCTGCCTTTCCTTCATACCCACAACTTCATGGAAATTCACTGGCTGTTCTGAGTGGCCAAATATTTGGGCTCTGAAAGTCTGTTCTGAAGACTCCTGGTTTTCTAAATACGAAGTCCTGCTTCTTTACTCTAGCTTACATACTAAATTCCTTGAATTTAAAGTTGACCATCCCTTTAGGAGTTATTCGTAAATCACAGTATATTTTCTCCAAACAGAACAGAAGAGAACTGGGACAATCTACAGAATTCTATTAATTTAAAAACAAAACCAAAACCTTTGCTCTGATAATAACTTTTCTGAAAGCAACTTGCTTTATCAGTTAAACCTGTTCCAGGCAAGAAGGCTGCAGGACCTGAAGATAAACACAACACTTGTAACCATGCAGAAATAAGTGAAAATAGGAAATACTTTGTCCTGAAGTATTCTGTTCCCTTTCTGCCCTGTGACATGTCTTCCTGAGTTCATTTTCTTATAAATTGATGCTCATTACACTAATATAAGTCTAAGAGCATTGCTCCAATTGACTGAATTTTCAGATCAGGTAGAAAGCTATCCCTGATGTGTTGCTGTTAACCGGGTCATCTAAAAAAATTTAGAGAGCACTTCTGCAATATGAATGTCTCAATTGAAAAATGATTTTAGTTTTTCTCTCCCCATCCAATCCCCCAAATTAAAAACTAGTAAAAGTAGCTTTGGGAAGAACAAAGTAAAAAAGCTAATAGTGTGAATGGAATTACATTGGTATTTTCTTTCTTGATTAGCATTTTGAGGTGCACTAGCAAATGGATGGAGACTGCAGTACTGCAAACAAAAGCAATGGAGATTGTGTTTTATTGAATTTGAGGTGCAGCCCATTGCGATTTGTCTAGATGTGGCTATCACTGAGGTGTCGAGCGGTATTACCATGACTGATTGCCGGATCGTGGTGTAGATGGAGAGATAAAGGACAGTATTCTAATGCGTATTATGCAGATGCAGGAATACTGTCAGCTGGGCCTGCACTACAGATGAAAGGCAGGAAAGTAATAAAAAACTGTAATCAACGGATGACCTCCAGCTGGAAGAGTCCATTTTCATAACCAAATAAGTGTAGAATAACTGCTCTTGCCAAGAAGACACAGCTTCTATAAGCAAAATTGATGAAGAGAAGGAGTGATCTAAATAAACAAGCATTGATGATTTGCTAGAGGAAAGGGGTAGGTGGAACAAAAGCAAGCACGGGCTTAAAAACGAACTGGACCAAGAGGTTCAGACACAATTGAGATTTCTTGCTTAAGAATTTAGGTTTAGCTGTACTCCAGTACAGCTGTACTCTACTTAAAGTGCTCAGCTCTTTAAATACTATTTTTTTTGCAGGCCATTGATGGTAACTTACCATTTGCTTCACATGTTTAATTTGGCCAAGTTGTAACTTGGTGTTTTCAGTTGAGTTCTGCCATATGACGTAGCCAGAGGCGACCCATGCTAGCAGGTGGATGGGCTCCATTTCTGGGGGCACGTTGCCATGGCTGTCTGGCAAACAAAACAAACAATATACGTTAAGCAAGATTCATGGAGCAGCAGCTATGAACAGAACCTTATCACCTAACAGTGGGGTTTGGTGCTAAAGTCACTGGCGTACGTTCCTTGCTGTGTCAGGGACCTTCCATATAATCTTGGAATAGCAGCTACACCACCACTGAGTCTATTTTCCTCCCACTTCTTTCTCTTAATATATAAGGTCTTCAGGGGTTGCTCTAAAGTAAGAGCAGACCCTAGTACTACAGTCGGGGTGTCTGATGTACCACACAGAGAACAGCCACAGCGAGTGAGCAGGGCGCTCGTTAAGGGAGAGGTAATGGCAGCAAGTGGTTTCCGAGAGCAATCATATGCAAATCATGTTGGTTCTGGATTTCAGCAGTGAGCAATAAATTCAGGAGTGTTGTGATTGACACACCACCCTGAATAAGGGGAAGGGAAGCAGCATGTGTTCAGAGGAGGGCTAATGGCCTGACCCCCTTGGCCCTGGCTTGTGTAATGGGGGCTCCCATATGGATTGTGGACCACCACCAGTTGGGCTCAGGTTTGCTCTCAGACGTTGTCTCAAAAACTTCCTTCTTGCCCAGACCCCTTCTTTGTACCTGGTATGTTTTCTGCCACAAGCTCTTTTTCCAGGCTCTTGATTCGACTGTAGAATATGTTATCTGCTTCGTCTGTGTTCTTAAGTTCTCCTTCAATTGTGAATTGCACATCTGGAGCAATGTTTTTGTTGCCCAGATGATAAAGAACCTCAGCAGTGCAGTTAACAGTACTGTCCTGTTACAGAGTTAATTATGGGTATTAATATTTAATTAAATACATGTATAATATTGGTAATTTGCACTTCTACCATATTCTTTTCTTTATGTATTTGCTGGTTTTTATGAGCCTGGCCCGTAGGGATTTGTGATTGTTTTAAGACAAGGTTTCACTCATAGTGGCTGTCCTATAAGGGCAGCTTGCTTTCTGCAGTGATAGAAGGGGCAAGGTTTGTGGTGCAGAATGTCACTCCTGCTATTCAGGTGGAGTAATGGGTTCATATAACTTCAATTTGAAGTTGAACGACACCGAAATGTCCCTGCCATCGCTCAAATGTTTTATTGCATCATAGTGGTAGGTACCAGCTGTTAGGGGCTTTTATGGTGTAAAAAATGGGGATTCCCTTTTGGTAAAGTTAAGCCACCCCCCTCACCCTGATTTGCAGTATAGAAAAATCTGAAATATCTGAAGTAGTATTAACTGCTGTGTCCACTGGCCTCAGCTAGGAACAGCAGCATAAAGTGTTGGATTTGTATTACATGCCAATAATGCCAACTGTATTAATTATATAAATCTGAACTCACTTTGTCAAGGACATCTTCTAACACCAGTTCCAGATGGTACTTATGCCCTAAATCATCGATGTCCTAAATAAGGCAAATATTAAGAACATTTATTTTGTAAAATGTTGAATTATTTTGCATTGTGGAAAAGATTCAAGTTATTGTGAAACACGCTGCAGCAGCAGTGCCGTTCTCTGCAGTACCCATACAGAGCTCGGATACTCTTTTATTTCCTCCTGCCAAGGTTGCTCATTTAATATGCATCTGGTGTGGCATCTGGTTAGTACTCCTCGTCCATTTCTAGACTTGTATACTACCTAATGGTCAGATGTGGGCTCCCTGTATGACTATGTGTAATAATGCACTGCTTGGTCAAATACTAAGGGAAGAGTCTTAATTGGGTTCCTGATATTAAGTCCGTTTTCCACTTTATTATGAACTGCATCATGTTCTATATTTTTGGGGTATCTACAGTAATTGCTTAAGCAAGCAGGTTCGTTTTGCTGTAATCCCTGTTCTCACAGGGTTATTCAGAAAACCCAGAACAGGTCAGTAGTGAGGTTTGTCCTGGTAGGCATGACAAGAGCGTCCTCTTGGTTGGGAGGTTCTGCAGGGACCGATGCCATGGTCCGATTCCGTGGGCACAGCGCAGGGCACCGCTCCTGCAGCGCTGTTGTCCCAGCGGGCAGGAACACAAGGTGTATTTCGCAGTGCAGGCAGGGTGCTGGTCTGCGGGCTGTTAACCAACAACCCCTGTGTTCCTGCTTCTGTTGCAAGA